AGAAAGGAATTCATATAACTGATTTCGATTCAGTTTTCTCGTTGTTTTTTTTCAATTTGGGAACTCAGCCTTTCGGATGATGAAGAATTGTCGACTATAATACCTAAGTCCTATGATATTCGATGATGATAAGGATGCCGGAGTTTCATTAGAGCCAACTGCAGATTATAACGTGTGAACTGCAATCGACTCAGAGATAGTGATTTCCTCATGAATGAACTTCTTCTCAATTTTCAGTTTTTACATTCTTCCCAATCATCGCTCAACTTATTCTCCTGCGGTATTGTCCGGAATCACCGCGATATACGTTGATCTTCGGAAAAAATGAATTACAAAGTGAGAAAGATTTGAGAATGTTGAGAGGAAGATCGGACGTTCGTGCCGAAATTGAAGCCATTCAAAAAGAGGCGAGAGAGAAGGAGGTTTGTATGTGCACTCACTCACTCGTGCACATTTCCTGTCGAGAGGCGATCGACTTTTATCTCGCTCAGTTACAAAAATATTGTTGGATGCTTTCAGAAGGAACCTAAGATCACATTCGCTACGTTATTCGCTCGTGAACTGCGATGGTCGACCCTGATAGCAATATTTTTGATGTTTATGCAACAAATGAGTGGCATCAATGCAGCAATGTATTACTCGAATGACATCTTCAAATCAACTGGATTGATTGGCGATCAGATCATCTTGGCAACATGTGCTATAATGCTAACCAATGTGCTTATGACCTTAGCATCTGAATGGCTTGTAAGTTCCAGATTCTTTATCGACTGCTGCTGCTGATTCGAACAATTTTATTTGACTCGATTCGATTACACAGTGCACCGATCTGAGGAATCATCAATGATGAAAGAATGATAGAATTTGTGAAACATTGTTGAAGTGATTTTCAGGTAGACCATCCCTTATTCGGTCGTCGTTTCTTACTTTTAACTGGTATGCTTGGAATGTTTCTGATGTCAATTGGTATTGTTGCTTCTCTAATTCTCATTGTGAGTTTAATCATACCTATTTTTATTCGAGATATTTTATATACATTCGCTGAGCATAGCGATCGAATGCTAGAAATGAATGCATGTCCATTCATATGAAGGAACTTTAC